AAATGTGATAAAATTGTTATATATAATTGTAATCATTCTTCTATGATGTAAGTGCTTGGTCTTATAAAATGACATTTAATACATGTTTATGCATGATTTTAATTAATTTTATATATTTTTTATCAATATTCAATACTTGTTTATGGATGTGTTTAATTAACATTTAAAGCGTCTCACATTCTACAGCAAAAACTAATTTCAAGGGCGGTTTCTTGGAGTCGGTTATACGAAAAGCCGCTGATTTTAAAACTTTATTTTCTAGAAACAATCAAGTAATTAGAAATAGGGGTTTGATTTTCTCATGTCAAAATGAGAATTCAATTCTGTGAGACTCGTGTAGTAGAAAAAATTATATCTAGAACCCATGTTAACACGGAAATCGAAGAGTGTCTAAGAAAATTTAAATCTCATGTTAGAGAATTATAAAACCCTGAAATAATGATAAGAATAATGCATTCCACATTGAAACTCTAAACCATTCCCAACGCAGAAGACTAACTTTGTTTCTTTTAACACACATTGCAAACAGATCTGAAAGGCCATTCAAATACAATGACTATTGTCTTCGTTTCCATCATCTCACGTTTCCAGATCTGAAAAAAAATTATTTTATACTCTCAATCACACAGATCTGAAAGGTATGCATTGGAGACTCTCTCCGTCGTGAAGAATGTGGGTGTCTCTTTATATCTATCTTTCTCTTTTTCGTTGTTTTTCGTAGACAAAATGCTTGTAAAAATGTCTTATTCATTTGTTAATTTTCACACAGTATCACCATCAATGGCACCATCGTATGTCACCGCCGTGCAGGTCGACAATGTGACTTTCCCTCCCACCGTCAAGGTTCCGTCCTCCGCCAACAGCTTCTTCCTTGGTGGCGCAGGGGTCAGGGGCCTGCAAATCAAGGACAATTTCGTCAAGTTCACCGCCATTGGGGTTTACCTTCAGGTACTGTACTCTCTTGACTCTTCTTTTCGGTCATGCCTATTTTGGTAAATTTCATCATCACCGACGAATAAGTGCCTATTTAGGTAATGTGCCCCTGAAATCTATTTAGAATGGCTCTAAATAAGAATGGCTCTTTTTTAGTGCAGTAATAAGGTTCGTATTTTTTTATTAAGTAGAGAATTTAATGTTAAGTTGAAGTGGAACAAGGTCAAAACCATTAGGCTTTAAGAAATTATAACATATATTTCTTTTTTTTTTTCTTATCTCACGCTTAAGGTTGGACACCTGTGTTTCCAAACCATGAAAGTTCACTCAGGTAATGATATATTTCGTGAAGTTAAAGAGTGTTAATGAATGTCAAAAGAATACCTGCCTTGAAATAATTTTGGATTGTTTTTGAAATGACATTTTTTGACCATAAATATAATTGATTAGTAAAGCAAAATCAGGTAATGATAATTCATACTTCAAAAATAAAATAAAAATGAGGGTGTTTATTGAAAAGAAAAACCAAAAGAGGAAAAAGTGAGGGAACTTCATTTTACTCTTTGTGTCACTCTAAAAATTATCAAGATTACTTTAATTTGGAGATTATAACCACCCATCATGAGGGTTGTTTTTGGACTGACTAATCCGTATTGCAATCTAGCTTCTAGAAGTAGGCATGCTGTAAAATGACAATTGGGTTAAATTTTCTGGGTACTAGTAACAACTCATTGGGTTAATTTTTTTTCAATTATATGGGTCAGATATTATGGAAGATGTTTGAATTTAATAATGGTAATGTGAACATATAAACTCGACAAATTACAAGTCTATAGGGTGAGGAAAAGTACTAGTCAATAGTCATATAGTGCATGAGTTTTGTTAGAAGTCAAAAACCAGAAATGTCTTTCGAAACTGCAGTATCAATCGATGTTGGATTGGGGATGATATTTTTCATATGGGGAATGAATATTTGCAGCTTTAAAAAAGTAAAAGGGTGAAACATATATGAACATCATTAAAAGCTGAGAGTACTCAAAGAATTTGGATTGGTCAATTTGATAAAGAGCAACAACGCCCATGTACTTGTGAAATTAACACCATTTCCATTTTATTGATTTGTCATGATTATTTGTTCATGAAAAAGAGCAACGTACGTAACACAGGTTTTGGCTTATCTTAAGAAGATAGATAGGATTATAAAATTATAGGAGTTAGGCCATTTCCATGTGCTCTAACAGAGCTGTTTTTTGACTGTCTTAATTTTGTAGGTGCTACTTGGGTGTTGAGCTACTTATATCTAATAGCGAGGGAAACAAAACTTTACTCAAGTCCTTCTGGCATCACTCAGATGTCACTACAAGAAAAACGGCAAATAATGGCTGTGTTGAATGTTGTGAAGCAAAAAGATCCACTTTCTAGTGAGGTAATTACTTTTGTGCAATCTATCTTTTTTATATTTTTATTAATGTTTGTATGGAGTATTATAATTCTATCTTTTCCATGATCCGTATTAGAGTAGCGTAGGCTGCCATATCTGTGATTGTTGATTTTTAGACTGTATGAATTAGAGTCTCGGGAAAGTTTCTTAACTTTAACTACATGTGCTGTATGTTTTGGTCTCATGCAGGCATCTTTTGTTGGAGCCATGGCTATTGCTGACTTAGTGAAGACTACCTTAGGGCCAAAGGGAATGGTAAAAACTCCTCTTCACTAAATGATTTTATTTTTTACTGTTAACTAATTCATATATCTTGGATGTGATAACTGCAGGATCAAATTTTGCAGTCAACTAGTAGAGGACGTGAAGTTTTTGTCACTAATGATGGTGCTACAATCTTGAAGTCCCTCCATATTGATAATCCATCTGCTAAAGTCCTTGTTGGTATCCTTATCATTTTTTATTGCTATGTGAAATCAGCTTAGAAATTGTTGGATGGTAAAGGATTTTGGAGAGAGCTAATATGAAAGGCCTGAAGCGCACACGCAAAGGTAATATATTTCCTGAAATTTACCTTCCTATGTTACAAGATATTTGCGATTCTGATTGTTTTTTATTCATGTTCTCTGCAAGCTCTCTTTGTTTTTTCATTTCTCACACTAGTTTCATTAAGCCTTCTATGTGTGCGCTCTGTTTTTTCTGTAGTGTGTGTACTTGTTTCAATTTACTATTAGACAAGCATTTTCTGAATTTCATATACATTTAATTTCTCTGTGTGGTGTGGTTGGATTCATAACAGATCAAGAAGTAGAGATGGTGAGAGGAAAGACTCAGATGAGGCGCATAGAGAACGCCACAAGAAGACAAGTCACTTTCTCAAAGCGGCGTAATGGGTTGCTGAAGAAGGCTTTTGAACTATCTGTTCTTTGTGATGCTGAGGTAGCTCTCATTATCTTCTCTCCAAGAGGAAAACTTTACGAATTTGCAAGCTCCAGGTATGGATCCTCAACATTTATTACAAATTCTTTTATGTGAGAGTTAGTTTAATTTTGTCGGCTAGTAAATTTCATGCATACTTTACGAATTTTATTTGATATTGTTATTATTATTATTATATAACCTCTTAAGTACAAGAGCTTATAATATGACATATGATCACGTGTAAATTTTTTTCTATATTTAGAAGAATTTTCCGCTGAATGCTCAAACCCTTGATGAGCTTCACTTTCGACAGAAGAAGAAGTTCGCACCCACCACCCTTGTCAAAGGGAATCAAACTCCCTTTGCCATTCTCTCTGAACAAGAGCGCCAGAAGCTGCAACTACAGTCTATCAGGTATATATTTTTGTCGCTTTTTAAGAACTGCAAATTAGTTTTACTGATTTGATTAAGTAAATCAAATTACTGCAAATCAATTTTCTAGGGTTGATTGAGAAAATCAAATTACTGCAAATTATTTTTATTGATTTGATTGAGTAAATCAAATTATTGCAAATCAATTTTCTTGAGATGATTGAGTTAATCAAATTACTGCAAATAGTTTTCTTGAGTTGATTTTGTATTTGTTTTTTTATAGAATTTTTGTATTTTTGTGGATTACAAAAGTTACTTTTTTTAATAGAAATTAAATTATTGACAACTACAACAGCATGATGGTTCCTGCTTCTGGCCAAAAACCTGCTTTTGATCCAGTTATATCTGCTATACTGGATCCAATAATTCAGGTATTTTTCTCAATCTGGTACCTGTATTTGATAACATGACCATTCTGTGTAATCATGAAAGAGAATGATGTGAAATTGTGAATATTTTCTCAATCTGGTAATTTTTTTTTGGTACCTGCATTTGATAGCATGACCATTTTGTGTAATCATGAAAGAGAATGATGTGAAATTGTGAATATTATTCTAAAATTTGACCTTTGTGATTTTATATGGTTACTTACATAATGGTAGTCTTTGAAAATCTTTGTACTTGGCAGCTATATATAACACTATGAGATGGTGTATCTGTGTAGAACTGCTGCCCTTGGGTTCCAAAATAATGCTATTATTTTTGGTTCTTACCTGAGGTTTTTTAAGATTTTGCGCTAATAGTTTTGCACCTAATTCTCAGATTGATTCTTAGACCTTTGACTTAAAAAGAGATATTGTCTTGATAGATTCGTGGCTTGGCATGGCCTGCGGTTCTTTACGGACTGGTTGCTCAAAGTGCAAGGTGTGCCTCTACCCATGCGTCATCTATTATTCACCTGCAACTCTTGAGTCTGAAAGCATGTGCGGGTTGTTATTTTCTGATGGTTATGAATTTTACATTCGCTGTTACACGAAGGTCAGCAAGGGAGAAGAAGCATTCTGTTTTACTTAGAGACTTTGTGGCTTGAGGTGGCCACGTCATTTACAATATTAGCTGTGTAATTAGGAAGGTTACACGTTGTGTAAACGTGTCAAGTGGGTTCCAAGTATTGATAGCTTGTGTTGTATAGATGAGTATAAATATGGATTGTGATGTAACTAATAGACTACCAGAACATTAATACGATTACTTTCAGATTCTTCTTTCTCTTGTTAGGCATTAACCTAACAAATTGGTGCTTTCATTGTTTACTCACCAACAGTTTGTTACAATGCGCGTTCAGGATCTCGCTGAGGAGTTCGGTGCATTCCAGCAACGCGTTGATGCTCGCCACGATGACCACCAATCTCAGATGTCTCGTGTTGAGACCAGGTTAGACGATTATCAGAATCAAATGACTTTGATTGTGACTCAATTGCAACAATTGAATAACACTATTTTGTCGATTGATGCACGTACTCGCGAGCCACATCCTCGCCCGAGTCAATTTGATGCAACGTCTTCAGGGCACATTCCGCGTGTTGATCCCCATGACAGTAGGAATTTATCCAAAGCGATTCGTTTGGAAATTCCGTTGTTCAGTGGTGTTGATCCGAATAGTTGGCTTTTTCGCACAGAATTGTTTTTCATGCTGCAACAGATTCCCGACGAATTCAAGGTGCCACTTGCAGGGTTGCGCATGGAGGGAATGGCTGCTGCATGGTATCAGTGGATGTATAACAGCGGATTGATTCGTTCTTGGAGCGACCTTTCTAGAGGAATACGAGAGCGATTTGGTGTCTCGGCTTATACAAATCTTAAGGGCGTGCTTTCCAAGCTTGTCCAATCCGGTTCCTTACGTGATTACATCCAACAGTTTGAGGTGATGATAAATCAGGTGCCAGGTCTTGATGATGACCTTTACATGAGTTTCTTTGTCTCAGGTCTTCAAACTGAACTTAGAAGCGCTGTTCAGTTACGTTCTCCTTTAACTCTCCATCAAGCTATGCAACTAGCTTTGGCTTTTGATGATCATCATTCAGAGTTAAGAGCATCATTTAACGTTACTGCTAGGAAGTTTTCAGCGAAACCATTTCCTACTCAGGAGTCTGCCACAGTGGCCTTGCCTACCACTCAAATTCCTCAGTTAACAAATACAACTCCTACATTAGCTTTACCTGCACCACCAATGGCAGCTGTTAAGAAATTTTCTCATGTGGATTTTCATAAGAAACGTGAGTTGGGGCTCTGTTATTATTGTGATGAGAAATGGAATGCCAAACACAGATGTAAAAATAAATTGCTCTTGATGGTGGGGGATTTGACAGATCAGCGCACGGATGCAGAGGAGGAAGAGGAGATAGTTTGGCAATCGGAGGATATGGTTAAGATACCTCATGAGGGAGCCTTACATGCTTTAAGCACTCAGCAAGGTAATAGATCCTTGATTTTTCTCACTGTTATCAATGGTTCTGAGTTACCTGTATTGATTGATTCCGGAAGCACACATAATTTCATTAGGAAGCAGTTAGCTTGTGAGTTGAAGCTCCCTATGACTCGTGCCAAGAAAATGCGTGTATTCTTAGGTAATGGTGAGTTTTTGGTGGCTGACCGCAAATGTTTGAATGTCCCAATTGTTCTTCAAGGTCATTTATTCACTGTTGATCTGTGGGTGTTGGAGTTGATTGAGCTAAGTGTAGTACTCGGTATGCCTTGGTTGGAAAAACTTGGAAGAGTCACCCATAATTATGTTCGAAGATCAATGGAGTTTTGTTGGCAAGGCCAACAGGTTGTGTTGGAAGGGTTAAAAAAACATGAAAGGCCTATGCTTACTGATGGCAACAACAGTGTAGAGACTACTCACTGTTATACCTTAATTCATCAAGGAGAAGAGTGCATTTTGATGCCTGCTCCAGAATTGTTGGCTATGCAAGCAATGCTACCCGAATGTCTTTGGCAGATTTTGCTGGATTTCCAGGATGTGTTCCAAGTCCCAAATGAGCTACCTCCTTTCAGGGGACTAGATCATGCCATTCATTTGGTGGAAGGTTCTAAACCCATCAATGTTGAACCTTACCGTTATGCCCATCATCAGAAGACAGAAATTGAGAAACAAGTCACGGATTTATTGACTGCAGGCTTTATTCAGCATTCTCAAAGTCCATTTTCTTCTCCAGTTCTTTTGGTACGTAAGCAGGACAACTCATGGAGGATGTGCATTGACTATAGGGCATTGAATGCAGTCACCATTAAGGATAGGTTCCCTATTCCGACCATTGACGAACTTCTCGATGAATTAGGAGGGGCTAAGGTGTTTAGTAAACTTGATTTGAGGGCTGGCTATCACCAAATTAGAGTTTTGGCTCAAGACATTCCAAAACAGCCTTTAGAACTCATGAAGGGCACTATGAGTTCTTAGTCATGCCATTTGGGCTAACCAACGCCCCGGCAACCTTCCAGGCAGCCATGAACCAATTGTTCAAGCCATATCTTCGTCAGTTTATCATTGTCTTCTTCGATGATATCTTGGTGTTTAGTAGATCAATGGAAGAACATGTTGAACATTTGCGCGTTGCTCTTAGAAGTCTGCAGTTACATAAGTTTTTTGTGAAGCTATCCAAATGCTCTTTTGGTGCATCTTTTATTGAATATTTGGGACATGTGGTCTCTGATCAGGGTGTGCATGCTGATCCAAAGAAGGTCAAGGCCATGGTTGAGTGGCCTACCCCTTGCAATGTGAAGCAACTTCGTGGGTTCCTTGGCCTCACGGGTTACTACCGTAGATTTGTGAAGAATTATGCAATGTTGGCTGCCCCTTTAACTGATCTATTGAAGACAGCCTTTGAGTTTCATTGGAGTGACAGAGCAGCTCAAGCTTTCATATGTCTTAAAGATGCTATGACTCACACCCCAGTCTTGATCTTACCTGATTTCAACTTACCTTTTGTTGTTGAAACAGATGCTTCCATTAGTGGGGTGGGAGCTGTGTTGTTACAACAAGAGCGACCATTAGCTTTCTTTAGCAAAAAGCTGAGCAAGAGAATGTCAAATGCTTCAACTTATGTTAGAGAACTATACGCTATTACAGCTGCGGTTAAAAGATGGAGGCAGTATTTGCTTGGATCTTCATTTGTGATAAGAACAGATCACAGAAGCATTAAGGAATTGATGAGCCAAACCATCCAGACAACCGAACAACAGAGGTATCTTTGTAAATTACTAGGCTATGATTTTAAAATTGAATATAAGGCTGGTAGCAGCAATGTTGTGGCTGATGCTCTATCAAGGGTGTATGAGGAAGGTGGTATCAATACACTGGTTTCTGAACCTGTTTTTAGTGTCCTGGAGGAGGTTAAAAGGCAGAATTCAGAAGATCCATACTTGTTGCAGTGCCATCAGAAAATTACTGCTAATCCAGGAATTGATAAGAATTTGTCAATTAAGGATGGTGTCATTTTTCACAACAACAGGTTCCTGTTGAACCCCGAATCAACATTGATTCCTATGCTACTTGGTGAAGCTCATTCCACACCTATGGGAGGTCATGCTGGTGTCCTTCGAACTTTTTTGCTGCTTTCTGCAACGTTCTATTGGAGCTCCATGAGAAAGGATGTGAAGAAGTATGTTAGTCAATGTGTGGTTTGCCAACAAGTGAAGTATGAAGCAGCGAAACCATGCGGCCTTTTACAGCCTTTGCCCATTCCCGAAGGCATTTTTGAAGACCTTTCTATGGACTTTATAGTAGGTTTACCTCCATCCAAGGGGTTTACTACTATTTTGGTGGTAGTTGATAGGCTTTCCAAGTTTGCTCACTTTGGAAAATTGCCTCGCTCATTTACTGCAGCTGTGGTTGCCAAATTATTTTGTGAATTAGTGATATCTGTTCATGGATTTCCCCGTTCCATAGTTACTGATAGAGATCCTATTTTTGTGAGCCAGTTCTGGTCACACTTATTCAAGTTGAGTGGGACATCCTTGCATACTACCACAGCTTACCATCCTCAAAGTGATGGACAAACGGAAGTGACGAATCGCTGTCTTGAGCAATATTTACGTTGTTTCTGTCATGAAAAGCCTCATGGGTGGTCAGATTTCATTGGATGGGCTCAATTCCATTACAACTCTAGTGTTCATTCGAGCATTGGAATGAGCCCACATCAGGCGGTATTTGGTAAGTGCCCAGTGTTGATACCTCATTATCCCCGTGGGTTAGTTAAAATAGAGGCTGTTGATTCCTTGCTGGTCCAGAGGAATGAAGTCTTGGCACGCTTGAAGTTGCATTTGTCACAAGCCCGCAATCGAATGAAGGTTCAAAGTGATAAACATCGCAGACCTCGTTCTTTTGAAGTGGGGGATTTAGCTTGGGTCAAGCTACAACCATACAGGCAAGTGTCAGTAGAGAAAAGAGCCAATCATAAGCTTGCTAAGCGATTCTTCGGTCCTTATCTGGTTGTTAAGAAATTTGGAGAAGTTGCATACAAATTACAACTACCTGAAGGTTGTCAAATTCATCCAACTTTCCACGTTTCGTTGCTGAAACCATTTAAGGGAGATGCAAATGTCCAACCTCAGCCACTTCCAATGTTGGCAGTAGAGAATAGACCACTGCAAAAGCCTTTAGCAGTGCTGTCCTCAAGAACTGTATTGGTAAGAGGAGTTCCAAAACGCCAATTCCTAGTTCAATGGACTCATACTGTTCCAGAGGATGCTACATGGGAGTTTGAAGCACATCTCCAAGGTTGTTATCCAGATTTGGACCTTGAGGGCAAGGTCAGTTTTGAAGAAGAGGGGAGTGTTACACGAAGGTCAGCAAGGGAGAAGAAGCATTCTGTTTTACTTAGAGACTTTGTGGCTTGAGGTGGCCACGTCATTTACAATATTAGCTGTGTAATTAGGAAGGTTACACGTTGTGTAAATGTGTCAAGTGGGTTCCAAGTATTGATAGCTTGTGTTGTATAGATGAGTATAAATATGGATTGTGATGTAACTAATAGACTACGAGAACATTAATACGATTACTTTCAGATTCTTCTTTCTCTTGTTAGGCATTAACCTAACATTCGCTCATCATGTTGAGGTTCTATATCGGTCCAGTAGTGTAAGCAATGACCATACAGGATACACAATATATGAAATGATGCATATTAGCATATATGAATATAAGCAAAATTCTTTCTGTAAATGATATGATTTGGTTTTTTTCTTTTCCAGGGCTAGAACGGAGTACTCTCATGCCATCAATTATGAGAGTAAATAGAAAAGAGGTATGTGCTACTTTTTCTTGTTTTGCTTTTTTCCCTTCTTAACACTAAGCATAACTGCTGCATTTTTATGTATTTTTATAGTTTACTATTATAATTTGCTATTAGAAAGGATAAGAACTTAGAATAGATCCACCAACACAGGAAAGGATGAAGAATCAAATGATAAAAGTTCAGTTGGTCTCAGAGAACTGAGTAGGTGGGGGTTGAGAGTATGTGTTCGATCTTTCCTAATACCATCTTTGGAAGGGGTTTAAAACTTTAATTCAGGAATCCGCTATTAGCTTTGAATTATGTATATTTTAATGGTTTGGTTTCTGATTTATTTAGGCTGAGTGAAGTGTGATTTGCATGTATTGGGCCCAAAAAGAGAAATCCAAGGAGGTATTAAAGTCCAGCACAATTGGTAGATAGCTGAGTTCCTTAAACATGCTGACAGGGGTTCGATTCCTAGTCGTGCGTATGGTGGGAGAGGTTTACTCATTTAATGTGATCTCCCGCCTCGAAAGGATTAGTCTTCGGCCGTCGGCTGGAGTATACCTTCGGAAAAAAAAAAAAAAAATTAGCCAATAGATCTTGGGAAAGGATCCTTTTGCGAATTAAAGCAAGAATTGGAAAATTCCAATGAAATAGCATAGTAAGTCGAATTCTGAGATTAAAGTGTCATAGCATAGCAGTGCGATAAATGCAGAAATTCAAACTATTTAAATTTGAATTTTGAACTTGATTAGTACTGGAAGAGTTCAGCATTTAATATTTTTGTAGTGGGAAAAAAATATATAATAAATTTAAATATAATATAAAATTATAGATTAAATGAAAAAATATTTAAAATTATAAAAATATATGTAGAGCTGATAAAAAAATAATTTAAAATTTAACTGCAAAAAAATTGTAGTAATTAATATACATATATTTTTTTTGATAACAATTAATATACATATTACGAATAAGTCTAATTGCTGATGTTAATAATGAGTTGCCAATTTCATTAATAAAAATGAGAAATAGTTAATCCTAAGATGAATGAGATATGAATGAAATCCTTATAAAAATGGTAGTTGTCAATGCTCATAATGATAAGATGAAAAATAAATAATAATTATACGAGATATAGAATTTAAAAACACAAATAAATGAAAAACATTTTATTTCAAATCAAAATTTAAAATATTTAAACTAAATATTAGTGCGAAAAGAGTTTAGTATTAATTAGTCGCGGACAGGTGCATTAATATCCTATTTCGTTTTTGAATGGGAAAATAGTTTAACATCTTTTCATGGGAGACAATTATATTAAATTCTCATTATTTTCTACATGCGAATTAGTGGCAGACAGGTGCATTAATATCTTACTTCTTTTTTAAAATTTGAAATTTGAAGTTGATATAGGTTGGAAAATAGTTTACCATCTTTTAGTAGGAGACAATTATATTAAATTTCCATTATTTTCTACATTGGAATTGTTAACTCTCATTTTAAAAACCATTGAATGCTTTTTCCCATAATTATCAAAAAAACCAAAAGATCCCAAGAAATTTCTGAAGTTGAACATATATATATATAATAAATTTATATATATATATATATATATATATATATAGTAAATTTCTTTTAGCATTTTAAGTTTTTGCACTGGGAAAAATATATATGTAATAAATTTAAATATAATATAAAATTATAGATTAAATGAAAAATATTTAAAATTATAAAAAATAAGTAAAGTTGATAAAAATATTTGAAATTTAACTGCAAAAAAAATGACTTAATTATACTTTAAAATAAAATAAATTAAAAATTTAACTTAAAAAAATAATACAAAAGAAAAGAAAAAATCGTACAAGTATTTTTTTTAACATAACTGTTTTAAATTATATGTATGACCAATATAAAAATTATAAATTAAAAGATAAAATTAATTTTTCAAAATATATTTATAATTAATACAAAATAATTGGATACCAAAAAAATACAAAATAATTCAAATTTTTTATTGAAATAAAAAAATGACATCTATCATTCAGTAAAAAACTAATTATAAAAATTTAATCACTGTAAAAAATGAATGATTCAAAAAGAGAATGAAAAAAATATTTTTGTAGAGCTGATATTTTTGTAGTGAGAAAAAAATATATAATAAATTTAAATATAATATAAA